TCTTTTCGATCGTTTCAATGCGCTGCAGAGATGAGCCGTCCAGGGAACCTTCCACTTCCCAAGCTCTGAAGGTTTCTTCACCAAAGTTCGAGATATTTGAGTTCTATTTCCACTGAAGTTGGAATCATGCCATTTGAATCCATATCCTGGAAGTTACGCTCCCCTGAATTCGAAGTGGTTCGAGTGCAACTTAGGCATGCGAGATGGCCGAGCAGAGAACAGAACCACAGAAAGACTCGCGGTTTACACCGACTTGGGCCTGCGACTTGGGACTAAAGATGACCAACTCGCACACATATTATCTCCAGAATGCGTCTTGGTTGTGCGAGTTGAAGATAAGGAAGCCTGAACAGCACAAACACTCGCTGTTTACACCTAGATAGTCATGCGGCTGGGGCTGAAGGATTTAAGGTGCACAAAGCTGTTTCTATGGCTGTGCGACTTGGGCCTGCGACTTGGGACTAAAAGAGGACCAACTCGCACACACATTATCTCAAGAATGCGTCTTGGTTGTGCGAGTTGAAGAGAAGAAAGCCTGAACAGCACAAACACTCGCAGTTTACACCTATATAGGCATGCGGCTGGGACTGAAGAATTTAAGGTGCACAAAGCTGTTTCTATAGCTGTGCGACTTGGGCCTGCGACTTGGGAAGCTCCTGACCCATGAGACATGACCCATTTGAAGCCGGGTCAGTACCCAGTTTGTCCTGGGCTGACCCGGTCCGCAAGAGCCACTATATATGCTTTTTAGGGTTTTTCCAAGACTTGAGCTTTATTCTCTCTTGTTTTCTTTGCCTCTTTAGTGTAAAAACGAGTTTGATCAAGAGATATCTAGCAGATTTAATCATCTTAAAGCTGTTTCTTATCATTTCTTCATCTCATCTTGACTTCTAATCATGATCGACATCACCTCTTGCAAAGGAAATGGTGTGTTCATCATGATTAATGAGTAGTCTCTCTTTAAAAATATAGGTGTGTAGATTTAGGGTGCTTAGATATATATTAATGATTGTTTAAGCTTAGATTCTCTTCTCCTTTCCTTAGTTAGCTGATCCTAATGCTAGATCTCTCATTACAAGCTTGATCTAGAACTTAGGCATTTCTCCACCCACAAGGTGTTTGATGAAATGCCTGAATGAGCTAACTTAAGGGTTTATGCCTTTTTCATCATTGGAATGATTGTTAAATGCATGAATGACATATTAGAACTGTTTCTTAATGCTCATTGATTCATATTTCACAAATGATGATTTGGTTTGAAAATGGATTAGTGTAGAGGTTAATGCCTTCATGAGAGGATTAATCTAGATTATAGTTCTAAGTTTATTGGATAAGAGATCATGTGATTGCTTGCTATGTCTTTCTGTAGAAGATTCAGTCTTTCTTTGTTAAAGATTGTTTGGTCACTAATTAGGCTTGTAACATTATGCTTGTTGATTGCTTGGTTATCTCCAATAGTTGTTAGACTTGATTAAGTGATTTGCAAAGAGATTTCTGTCATGAGAGTGGATTAATCTGATTAAGAAGCCTAGACTAAAGAGTAGCAAGTGTTGCATTGTTGTTTAGTATCATTAGTTTGCATTGAAAGCACCCTAATCAATGATCACACCTAAAGGCTTATCTTCCATCATTTGCTTAAGCACCATCATCTTGTTTTGTTGCCTTGTTTAGTTCATTAATCATTGCTTTTCTTGTTTCTTGTGTTATGCTTTCTTGTTACTTTGTTCACACCAAAACTCATATTTGATCACTTGACTTAAGAGTTTATCACATAAACTAGTGTCTGGCAACCTCACTTATGGATTGATACCCTTTATGCTGCAACAGCTAAGGGATTGATAACCCTTATTAAGGCCTTGAAAACCTTAGTTATCATTGATGTGTTGTTCTGCCTGTATAGACAAATGGAAAAGATCTTTGAAGTCTTGATACACCTGTCTCTCCACTTTGCGACTTTTAAAAGTAGAGACTCAAAACAACAGGACTTGTAAATTAAAATGCTACATTAAAAGACTCAAAAAAAGAAATAAAAGACTACTAAACTAAATTGTCTCTGCATAAGACCAAAGACAATCAAACTCGTTAGTCAAAGGATTTAAACTCGATTGATCACTTACCTTATTTGCTGGCCGAGACATGTGTGGCTTTGACTGAGTTTGAATCCTCCCTCCTAAGTGTCTTGGTGCATTGGCGAGATGGTCATCATGAAGACTTGGGATTGATTTGGAAAAAAGGGCCAGGCATCTTGATTATTTGAAGCTGGGCCGTTTACTAGCTCTTGGCATTCTTCAAGTAATCCAGTCCAAGCTGGGCCACTTCTTGGTCTTCTTGCGGCTTCACTTGATCCACTTGTGACATTGCTTGCATCATGCTCTGGTTATACTTGTGTTGGAGAATCTTAGCTCTTTGTCTTGTCATGGGGCCTTCATGAACAATTGGTACTTCCACATCTTATAGTTGTGGCTCGGTTAAGTCTGGTTCAGCTTGAATGGCCTCATCATCATATGCGTTGGACATGTCTGTCTTAATGGCCATATCTTCACAAGAAATTTGAGGGTGTGTTCGCAGAGCATGGACAGAGTCATGAGCAATAATGAAGTTGTCTGATATCAACCGATCAGAGACGAAGGCAGATTGTGTTGGCGATACAATATCTTGTAGCCATGGTTGCATTCTTTTCACCAGAATTTTTAATACGATCTTATAGAAACCGAGCATGGGCTGATCAGTCTCAAATCTGTCATCATAGTTGGCTTCAGAACTTTCAGGATCAGACAGATTTGTGTATAGTTCCATTCCTTGGGAAATTCCCCTGTTTCAAAAATCTTCTGCACCTCAGATGTTACTTGTTGTCCAAGTATGTCCCAATATTGCTGAAAGAACATACCATTCATGCCATCCACACCTGGGGCACTCGATGGATTAATTGAGAAAGCTGCTTCTTTCACATCCCTCGCTGTAACCTCCTTCATCATCACTTCATTCATTTCAGTAGTTACACGAGGTTGAAAATCTTGAAAGAAGTCTCCAAGGTCCCCATTCCTCAATGTTTGGAATAACCAGAAAATCGATCTGGTTCCTCATTCTCTGGATTTTTAACAAGGCGTGGAAAAACTTTGTATTACGATCACTACCTCTCAGCCATCTATTCCTACTTTTCTGTTTCCAAAAAAACTCCTCCTCCTGTTATGCCTTTGCTATCACCAACTTTAGATCCTTCATGTACTCAAACCGGGGATAGAGAGAAGAGTCCTCGACCTCCAAATCATGTCGAAGCTTCAATATACGGTCCATGGAGTAGCTTTTGTTTTCACGTTTTTACTTGCTTAGGGATTTACGACATTTTCCAAGTATCTCCATTAAGCTCAGAGGCACTGCCTGATGAGTTCCCAGCCATGCTGATCGGATTGCCTCTTTCACCATTGATTTACCGATGAATCTTCTATCAAACCGGAATGAGCCTCAATTGTTGTTTTCTCTAGTCATAAGGTTTACAAGCACGAGTTTAACCCACTTTTTCCAAGAAAACCTGATTGGCCTGAGGGAATTCTTGCTTCCAGGCCTTGTTACCAAAGCAACGATCAAGTTAGCTCTGTATCCAATGCTTGTGTCTAACTCCAGACCAGGTAAAACCATCACCAGCACTTAGCAGCACATCCATTTCACACGTCTGCAGCATCTCTGCAAAGTCTTGAAAAGAGCTATCCCTCCGTTTAGGGCCATCCAATTTCTCTCCATTCTGCAAGATTTCGTTAAAGTCTCCATTCATACACCAAGCCTCCTTACGCTGAGACCCTATTCGCATAAGTGTCTCCCACACATGATTCCGACCTTTAACTTCAGGGTCTCCATAGACAAAGGAGACAAAAAACTCAAAAGCTCCAAACCTGCAAACTTCACCTCCACTATTACATTATTTTTCAAAAAAAAAACAGCTAAACCTCCACTCCATCCTACAGGCTCCACCATGTATACCTTATCATAACCCAACCATGCCTGAATATCTACTAACCCATTCTTACATCTTTTCGTTTCCATGAGAAATAACAGTTCAGGAAAATGTTTCTCACACATCTCCTTGAGACGTGGAATTGTCAGGTCTTGTGCCTGGTCCAAGTCCTGATAATTCCAGCTCAGAATGCTCATTGAGATTGCGACAGTCCCTCTTTCAGGACCACCTCTAAATTGTTACGCCTAGCGATTTTTGATACCTCTCTATCTCCACCATCCGCCTTCCTCTTGGGAGACACACTGATAGTCTTCTCCGCCACTTCTATACCTTTAATGTTACCCTTTGTCTCTGTTCCTTGTGTCTTCTTTCTGCGGCTCGTATTGGCTCTCTTTCTGGTTACTGTTTTCTTGGAGGACGTACCAGACGAACTAGCATCCGAGCTCCCAACAGAGAAACCATTCGACACCGAACAAAACCCAGAGTTCTCTGATGTGAAATTTGCTGCATCTCTTTCAGGGAGTAAAGCCACAGGGGCCACATCATGTCAAGCTGGTTTTGCTGCCTTTATGACAGCTGACATCAACTTTTCTCCAACATTCTCTGAACCTTTTGATCCCTGTGAACCTTCTGATTCACGCATCTCATAAGTCGGACATTTCACTTTATCGAGCTCAGAGGTGATCACAGGTGGGGCTTCCAGGTGCAGTATTGATCGCTGCCCCACCCAGTCATCCTTAAGGTCAAGAATGGATTGTTTCACACGCTCCTCACAGACTTTATGCTCTGGTCCTTCCGCAGCCAGAAGATACAGCCGCATCTCCTGCATAACTTCTAGTGAAATCCACAGTCTTCCCGAGTATGGGTCAGGTCCCACTTGTTCCTGAGTTATGATACCTAACAGAGGGTCTGACTCTTTCAACACTGGTTCCGTGTTGCGTTTAGCATTTAGGATACTCTGCCTTCTTGCATTAGCCTTGTCTTTGCGCATTTGGATCAACAATGGACACTTATCCTTTTCATGAGTCAATCTTTGGCAAGAGTAACACCACTATGGAATCCTCTCAAAGTCATACCAGACGGTTGTTGATCCTCCTTTCAGCAGATTTACAACCTTTGAGTGTCTGACCATTCTAGACACATCGAAATTAACCTTGACACGCACGTAATCCTTGCTCTGTGGCTTTTCTGGATCAAAAGCTATCTCGATCACCTTTCCTATGATATCTCCAAGCGCATAAATCGAGGCTTCAGTGTAGTAGTTACCTGGGATGTTACAGATCTGGATCCACACTGTCATGAATTGCAGATAGTCCTCCGTTGGATTTTCAACCCATCGGCCGATCACTACCAACCACTCATTGAAAGTCCAGACTCTTTTCTTCAGCACCTCTCCCAAGTTGTGTTCATACTTGAAAATAAACTGGAACCTCTCCTTCGACAGCGCCACTCCTCTTACACGGTCATAGACTTGCCACTTCCTTGGCATGTCGAGTATCAGGTCTGTCATATTTTGACATTCCGGATTAAGAGTTCTGCCCATAATACTCATCTTGTATCTTTCACTCGAGCAGAATTGAGGAAGGTCAGGCAACGTGAACGTTCCCGTCTTCCTCTTCTTCAATAGACAGAGCGTTGAAAGCCATGTCAATATTAGCCATAACTTCTATCACTTCCCAAGAAAACACACCAGATTGTTTCTTTTGCTTTTAGGTTCTTAGGTTGCTAAGGCGGCGCTTAAGAACAAAATAAAAATATAGCCAAAACCGTAAAAAAACATGAAGATTTCCAAAAGATTCACCAAATATATATTATATCATCCAAAAACCTTTAAACTTAAGAGGAAATAACCCAGCCAAAAAGCCCCTTTTTTAAAACTAAAGACTCTAAATGGTAGAGAGAGTCCTTAGCTAAAAGGGAGAGTCAATTCTAAAAAAAACTTGAATAAGATTCAACACGATCGAAATCAAACTCTTAGCACTGATGGTGAGACCGCAAAATCAAATTCATTTGAAAATAATTAAATGTTTGGCTATATTATCATTCTGAAACATATATTTCATTAAAGGACTGACTCTGATTTTTTTTTATACAAACTCTAGACTTTAGAAATATTGAGATCCTAAGTGATAGTGATGTGACCAGAAACTCTAACAATGATTGACCCAAATGCCAACAGTCCAAGAAGGATCCATGATACGTTCAAAAGCCAAACAACCCATGAAAAGATTCGGTGTTGCCTTACAAGCTTACATATGTTCACTAGAACCAGATGATCCACTTCTATCAGAGTCTATCATCCCATCCGGTAATATTGACAACAATGACCCAAAACACTTGCTACAACTAAGGGAGGGTCAATATGATCAAATCTTAACTGAGGGAGGTATAATTTCTTGACCAAGTGACTATTTAAAGGCTACTAGTCGAGGTGGTTTCCTAATTTCTGTTATTTTTTGCTCGACAAACTTAGAAAGAACTGTAATAAATTGTGAAAGGAGCTGAATAGTTCTTGTATTCAAAAATAAAAATAGAGGGTCTTTATAAAGACTTTGCTACAACAACTAACTATCGAGTCTTAAGGCACAAATGAAAAAACAAGAAAAGAGCTAGTCCACATCCTACAAATCAGGAGAGGATTTATTCAAACTTTGAAAATTTTGAACAGTAACCAAAACAGAGTTGCAAATCCGATTTTGCAGGTCTTTATTCTTCATTTCCTCCCCTAATTTAATCTTCCTTGCTGCACACTCCCATTCTTCCTCTGAGTTTCTCGAACATTTCCAGTTTTACCGCCTTTATCATTATATCAGCTATTTGATCTTGTGTTGCACAATACTCAAGCTGAATGTTCCCCTCATTCATCAATTTCATTAGAAGTGATACCTGACATGTATATGCTTCCTTCTTCCATGCAACACCGGATTTCTTGACAGCTTAATGGTGGAACTGTTATCACTGAATAGATAGTATCTTCTTCTTGCTTGAAACTGATCTCTTCTAAAATATTTCTGAGCTACACTGCTTGAAAAGCTCCATAGGCTGCAGATACCAATTCTGCTTTTGTTGTTGACAGCGTTACAATTGGTTGCTTCTTATGTGCCTACGACACTGTTCCTCCCAACATGAACATGTAACCAGAAGTACTTTTCCTATCATCACTATCTACTGCGTAGTAGCTGTCAACATAACCGACCAGTTTCTGCTCACCACCACGTTTGTACCGAATTCCAAGCTCTCATGTCCCTTGAACATATCTTTAGAATTCTCTTGGCAGCGAGCATGAGATGCTCAGTTGGACTCTCCATGTACCTACTAACCAAATTTACTGAGTAAATCAAGTCAAGTCTAATCAAATAACTAGCTGCTTGAACTGGGTTGGATTAACTGCATCAACTGTCTCCTGCCTTTGTCAACTTCTGTCTGGGCACAATTGGATTTCTTATTGAATTTCAATCCTCCATACCATACTTCTTCATTGTTTCTTTTGCATATTTCCTCTGATTTATCAAAGTTCCTTGTTCATCTTGCACAACTTCAACCCCCAAAAAGTACTTCATTCTTCTCAAGTCAGTCATCGAGAACTCACTCATCATTGAGTTCTTGGACCTTTCAAGCATTGGAGGTGAGTTTCCAGTGTAGATAAGATCATCAACATAGAGACTTACCACAAGAATGTTGTTTCTGGTTGAATCCTTCCTTCATGAAGTATCCCTCAATCCGACTATACCAGGATCTTGGAGCTTGTTTCAGACCATATAGTGCTTTCTTCAGCTTATAGACCTTAGTGGATTCATTTCTCACCTCAAAACCTTTTGGTTGCTCCACAAACACATCTTCTTTCAAATCTCCTTGTAGGAAAGCACTCTTGACGTCAAGTTGATGCACTTTTCATGCTTTAACTGCAGCCAGTATCACCCTTATAGTATGCCACCTTGCTACTGATACCCTTTGGCGACAAGTCTAGCCTTAAACTTATCTATTTCTCCACTCTCATTTAATTTTGTCTTGAAAATTGACTTCACTCCTATCACCTTTGCTCCTTCTAGTAACTCAACTAGTTACCAGGTCTTGTATTCCTCTATGTATGCAATCTCTGCTTCCATAGCATTTCACCATACTTCCAAATGCTCTGCATCTTCAAAGCAATTCAGATCATCTGTTGCAATAAACACTGCAAGAACATCATCACCATCTTCTATGACAAGGAATCCTCCATCTCCTACATGAAAACCTTTCAACCAAGTTGATAACACCGTATTTGTACCCATTTTCACCATTGATTTCAAATGTTTTTTCAAAGGTTTTATTCAATTATAGGAACTTTTATTATGATTTCTATGTATTTATGGTTTCAAGGCTCTTTTAAGGAAACTTAGATAAAATGATGGCAAAATGAAAGAAATCCACATTTTCAGCTCAGAGGCAGACCGTCAGAAGTTCAGCCTCAAATGAAGACTTTCTCACCGTCTGATCGAGCTCAAATTTGGAGACAATTAAGAGGAGACAACCAGCTTTCCATATCACTTTACATCACGAAGATCCAACGGTGCAATCAAACGATACGTGGAGAACAAGTTGACCAAATTCACCAGTCCCGGAAGACTCTCACCCGCGGCAAACATGCATTTTGCCTGCCCCGGAAGACTTTCACCCCCGGTGGATCCATGACGAGCCACAAGGCCCAACATCAAAGCCCACTTAGCAGCCCTAAACAGGTGTGTGCTCCTGTAACGAGATTTTGAGCCACCAAACTTTGTTTTTCTGGGGTTAGGCGATGGAGATAGGGATTCTTCCACTGATCCATTGTTCTTTCTCCTTTCTATCTAATTTACTTTTTTCTTTCATCTTTGGCATTCTTTCATGTCTTTATTATCCATTGCATCATGTAGATCTGTCCCAGAGTGTCGAGTTGTTTGAAGAATTTTCAATAGGCATACATGTCGACTAGGATTTCTAAGTTTCTAGACCATATTCTGTATCTTATCTCTTCTAACTTGTTCATATTGCATGAGAGTAGATTCGTGACCTATTCTCTGAGCCTAGGATCGATCAGAGCCACGAGAGTGCTGTATCAGATCATCCATACCTAGCTTCAGAAGAACATAGTCACTATAGGAGTCGAGAGCTACCTGTAGAGAAGATGTGAGCAGACGAATTCAATATTTAATGCATGATCTCAATTCTGGCATGAAAGCGAGAGTTAATTATCAGATCTGAGTGATTAGTTGATTAAGATGGCGAGAGTTGGTTAATCATACACATGTCTATTCTAGTTCCATGCAGATCCCAGAAACAGATGAAGATAAATCGCTCGGAGGCTAATTGGGAATGCTTTGACATCGATTAGAGTAAACCGGAGAAGTATAAATCGCCACCTATGAGTTTAGATCTGTAGTTTGAGTCGACATCCTTGAGATATTATTTTAACAATTCATATGCATTGCATTCTATTTCATGTGAGTATTAGATTAGATTTAGTTTGGGATTCCTAACCAAAAAAACCCAAAAATCCCATGAGTTTATGACTTTGTTTACTTCCAAGTTTGTTGTTTCTTGCAGATTAGACATCCTCCATGTGGATCGACACCCTAAGTCCTACACCGTACATCTGTGCACTTGCAGACACTAGGGTTTTATAAATTTAAAATTTTTTGAAGACCAATGGGCTTGTAAAAAAAACGTAACCCTAGGCCCGCACCGTATCAAGTTTTTGGCGCCATTGTCGGGGAGGTTTTTAATCGCTGGAGGTCTAAACCTGGGAGGTTGAAGTCGCAGATGACTATATATATGTCTAGTTTCTACGAAAGCATCATAGGAAGTAACAAAACTCATAAACACCCTAACTTTTTCTTTTTCTGCAAATTCTTTCTTCTGCTTGCCCTAGTTTCAGAATCTTTAAGCGTGGATCATCCGAGAAGAAACCCTAATCCCGAGCGAAGATTTTGCAACCTGTGTGAAGCTCGCTGTGCATGTGAATCACCATCAAAGCGTGATTCCGATCATCTTGTTCGGCCAAATCATCCAAACCATTACCTTGTAGACTTGCGAACTCCAAGCCACCGAGATGAGCCCTATTCGCCACACCTGGTGAACCGTCGACCATCTCATTCCTTACATCATCAGATTCTGCACCAGAACACTGAGGGTGATTGATTTAGGCTCCAACTGAATCGATTAGAATCTATGCTGAATCAATTTTTTGACTTCCAAGTTATTACAGAAGCTACCCTATACAAGAGGATCGATGATCTCACCCACCATGTGAAATCGCTGGAAGATCTGCACTTCAAGAGTATTTCTGCCCTAAAAGGGAAGATAGAAGCTTTTGAGGAAGAGCAGCCAAGAGAGAAGTATGATATCCTTCAAGGATCCATCGATGCCAAGGCTGCCAAGCTAGAGATCAAAGAGGCCAATGAAATTGCCTCATGGTACAGAGGAAGAACAGATGGTGAACTTCAAGAGATTGAATTTTTCCTAAGCAAGCTTGAGCATAAGAGTAGGGAAGCCAGTTCTGACATAAAGCATCTCACCAAGTGCCAAGGAGACACAAACCTTGTGGTGAAGAATATCTTTGAGAATCATAAGAAGGATTCTCTTGTTCATGGTCAGCAAAAAGAAGGAGGATCAACCAATTCTGATGCTGGCAATCCTTCAATGGACACCCAGAATAGCCGTGAAGACATCCTGGATGAGCAAGAGGAAGGAGCAGCTGATGAGCAGCCCTCGGAGACCCCCACTGTGGCCACGAGAGTTTCACCTGCGGCGTAAAGACGATTGGCCGCGGGTGCGACGCCTTCTCCCAATGCTCGCAACACGAAGTCCCTGAAGATCCTGATGAACATGATTCTGACATCCCATGCATGATGATTACAGAAGGTGAACCAGACGTCATAGATGTGGAGGATCAATCACCTAAGAGGATTGAAATGCCATACATAGATTCAATCAGCAGTTTCGATGCAGCTAAGTTCTTAGGTGATTAAAGTTTTGTTTTTTTTATTTTAGATAGACCTTAGTATGCATCTAAAAAAAAATTGGCTATATATATGTCGAGTTTCTGCCAAAGCATCGTAAGAAGTAAACCAAACTCATAAACACCCTAATTTTTTATTTTTCTGCTTATTCTTTCTTCTGCTTGCCCTAGTTTCAGAATCTTTGAAGCATGGATCATCCGAGAAGAAACCCTAATCCCGAGTGAAGGTTTTGCAACCTGAGTGAAGCTCCCTGCGCATGTGAATCACCATCCAGGCGTGATTCTGATCATCTTGCTCGGCCGAATCATCCGAACCATTACCATGGAGACTCTTGAACTCCAAGCCACCAAGATGAGCCCTATTCGCCACACCTGGTGAACCGTCGACCATCTCATCCCTTACCTCATCAGATTCTGCACCAGAACACTGAGGGTGATCCACTTAGGCTCCAACTGAATGATTAGAAGCTATGCTGAATCAATACTTTGACTTTCAAGTTGTTACGAAGCTACCCTGTACAAGAGGATCGATGATCTCACCCACCATGTGAAATCGCTGGAAGAGCTGCCCTCTAAGGATATTTCTGCCCTAAAAGGGAAGATAGAATCTTTTGAGGAAGAGCAGCCAAGACAGTAGTATGATATCCTTGGTACTGATTCTTTTTAACAAAGCTTTGAGGAGGATACACTTGGTCTTGGTGATTTTCTACATTGGTGCTCCTATAAGACAAGTTCTTGTTTTTGTTGAAGTTTTTGTACCCATTGAACTTGTTCTGATTCCCTATGTAGTTTATCTCCTCTTGAGTAAGACCATCTTCATTGACATTGGTAAAGCAACTCTTCTCTTCACCCACATAGTTTATAGGTTACTGAGTGGCCATTACCAGCTTTGCAAACTTAACTTTCAACTCCTCTAAATCCTTTTCCAGCTCTTGGTGTCTACTAGAACCTTCTCCTCTATAACTTCTGTCATAATCTTCCCCATAACTGTTTTGACTCATGGCTAAGTTCTCAACATGTTCCATAGCTGCATTGATTTCTTTTGCCAATAAATTCCCATTTGATATTGTGTCCAACTGATTCCTGATCTTGGGAACAGCTCCTCTATACAAAGTGCTAAGGAGAGAGGCTTCTGAAAAGCCATGATGTGGGCACTGATTTGTTTAGCTTCTAAACCTGTCCCAATCTTCTCCAAAGATCTCGTTGGAATGCTCAGTGAAGCTTGAAATCTAGTTTCTTAGCTTGGCTGTTCTAGAAGTGGAGAAGAACTTTGAGAGAAAAGCCTGCTTGCATTGTTCCCAAGTTTATATTGAACCTGGAGGTATATTCTTC